ACAATTTTCATTTCATAAATAATGGACCAGTTAGAGTTTTATTCGTGCAAAGCAAATTAACAAGTGTTTCCAAACAAATCTTGTGGATAATTTAATGTATGGATGTCTATATATTATAATGTCTAATCATGTCTACTAATGTAAGTTATTATATGAAATACTAAAAATCAAGTTTTCATCCTTCTTAGTGACTTGTCCCACATGGAACTCAAGGTTTGTTATGAGCTGGAACGGTTGAATAATTTAAGTGTAAGCTTTGTCAACCCATCCATTTATTTTATTTTATTTTTATATTTTCAATCCAATTGCCATTATAAGAGCTCATAACCAACGTTTAGTGCATAATGCATATGTGATTAGTCTCTTGCCTTTGGAGTTACTCCCTATATTCTTTTTCAATCTGATTGAGCAATTTTTTTTTAAAACTTATTTTCCAAAATTCAATTTCTATTATAGAAACTCATAAGCAAGTTTCATCATTCTTAATTTTTACAAATGTTTTATTTAAACAATATATGTTTTGTTTTGGTTTTTCTCTCAGTCCTTTTGCCATTTGCAATTGGGGCACCACAAGTTCCTTGCTTCTTCATTTTTGGAGACTCACTGATTGATAATGGCAATAATAATGATCTTGTAACACAGGCAAAGGTAAACTATTTACCTTATGGAATCGATTTTCCGCTAGGACCGACCGGCCGATTCACTAATGGTCAAAATACAGCCGACGTACTTGGTTCGTATCTCGCCTCGTTGTACATGCGTGCAACATATTCCTCAGTCGATTTACATTTATTATCAATTATATTTTCCACAGAATTTGCTAAGTGAACTCTCTATTGCAGCTAAGCTTCTGGGATTTGAAAATTATATCCCTCCCTTTGCAACAGCACAAGGTCAGGACTTCATCAATGGTGTCAATTATGGGTCGGGATCAGCCGGAATTCGAAGCGAGACAGGCCAGCAATTGGTAAATATTAACCATATACGTATGAAGTATTTTTCGAGTCCAAACATGAAGAAATATTTTGTTTAGTAGCGTAACACAGGCCGGTTTTGGGTCGGTCCATCCACTGGGCAACATGGCTAGACTTTTAGAGCCAGCACAGGTCGCCTCACAGCCTCATGTCAGGGCCTAATGCATCCAGGCTACTTCGAGCCTGGGCGGCTCGGCCGTGCAACTATTGCATTTGTAATCTATAAGAAAATTAATTATTTTATTTTATTTTGGCAGGGCGATAGGATCAGTTTGGACAGGCAGTTGCTAAATCACAAACATACAGTTTCACGCAATGTTCTTCTTCTTGGAAACGAAACTTCAGCCAAACAGCACCTAGGAAAATGTCTGTACACGCTTGTAATTGGCAGTAACGATTACATAAACAACTACTACATGCCACAGAGTTATTCAACAAGCAGATTATATACACCAGATCAATATGCCACTGTCTTAATTCAACAGTATTCACAGCAGCTAAAGGTTGGTATACTTCTTTCATCTTAAATAATTAAATTTACTACAAACTGACGTGCTCTGCCCAAAATGTCGTTCCATATACGGTTCGCCTGGCAAGACTCGTCTTTGACCCAAAAATATGGATAGTTTTGTTAAATTATAGATTCTAATTATTGTCCCTATACGAAGCTTGTACACAAATCAACCTTTGTGGTATGGTCGTCCGGCGACTAACTCTCCGGACCAAAATTTCATCAAGAATAATCTAGAAATTCCACACTACTAATTTCGATTTTGCCCTAATTGCTTTGGTAAATATGGAGCCATCATTAGAGTTTATGTAATCATCATTAAAAGTGAGATAGAAGTTAGAGACAAAAAGGGTGTAAGTTTTTTCTCTTGTAAATTTCTTTTATCATACTGAATTATCGCAGAGACGAAAGAAGACATAATATCACATTAAGATGAATCTCTATAAATTTTGCATGTTCTTATGTGTCTATTTTCTTTTTGCGATTTCATTGCTTCCTATGACATAGATTTAAATTTTCTACTTCTCAACAAGTTTACATGTTTACGAGGCTCTAATTAGTAATTTCATCTATTTACATGGCAGACTTTGCACAATTATGGGGCAAGAAAAATATCAGTTTTTGGGCTTGGTCCATTAGGTTGCCTTCCAGCAATGTCGGCTATGGGGACTAATGGATCAGTTTGTGTTGATTCTATAAATAATGCAGTTCAATTATTCAATGACAAGCTGAAGCTCCTTGTTGATGACCTCAACAAAAATTTGACAGATGCAAAATTTATCTATATAAACGCCATGGAAATTATGTTAGGATTTCTTTCAGATCTTGGTAAGTACTAACCTGCTTTTTCTGCAACTTATTTATGTAACAACACACGTAGCCGGGTGGTCAACCGGACTGGTTGTAGTAGAGACTCGAACCGGTCTAGTCGGTCTAAGAATAGAAGATTTAAAACCTCGGGGCATATTTTGAAAAGTTTTCCTATTAATTATTACGTGCCAATTATATGTTTGTCGACTTGAGCATTCTTGGCGTGTCATTTTTCAGCCATAAGAATTCTTGGTACGCCGTGCTGCAAAGTATCGACAAACGGACAGTGCATTCCTGGACAAGATCCGTGCCCCGTTAGGCCATTGCATCTGTTCTTTGATAATTTTCATCCTCCTGAAACTGTAAATTTGGTAGTGGCGACAAGAGCATACACTTCGTTGCTATTTTCTGATGCATATCCCTTTGACATTCAAACTTTGATTCGATTGAAGTTATGATTTCTACAGTATATTAGTGGCTTCAATATGTTTTAGTAAAAGTTAATATTTCGTGTAAACGAGCGTCATGGATAAAAACTATTGTCTTGACTCCAATATTATGGTTTTTCGAAGTTTGTATATCGTGTGAGGAGTTGTGTTGGCATTTCTGATATACGCAAATTCAAGTCGATGCCTGGTTACTCATTTGATAAAGTGGATTTGACACGACCACAGTTGATATCAAACTTGGGGTTTTGATTTGATTGTTTTTGTAGGTAAAAATAACATTTTTAGCTAATGACTCATTTGAATTCTCTAATCCAACCTTATTAAGAAAAATGCATATGAAACTTTCTAGATTAATTACTATTTTTAAATTTTAGCTATGCTAAACTTTGTTAAGGGAGATAAAATAAATAACCAACACTAAGAATGTGCTACTCCTTTTAACCAGCTCTATTTGACATCATATTAAGACTCATCATTCAATCTTATAAAGTCAACGTTATTAAAAATTACAGAGATTTATCCCTTAACTGATTTTACCTCTTGACAATTATAAGGTCGAGTGGCC